GCCGTTTACGACTCGGCTGGCCTCGCCGCGCTCGAGGAGGCGAGGATGAATATGTTGGACAAGGGTGGGGATTGGCAGGGCTCGGTCGAGGTAGACCTGGATCAGCTCTACAACGGCGTGACGCTAGTGACCAGCGTGCAGCGCAAGGTGATCTGCCGCGGCTGCGCCGACAGCCAGAGCATGCGCTGCCAGCAGCTCTGCAGGGAGCGCTGCGCCAACGAGATTGGCATCGTGGACGTCCATTTCGGGAACATGGTGATGAAGCAGCAGAGGGAAGTACAGTCCAAGGAGAGATGCCGCAACGAGTACGTGAACGTCACGGTCGAGGTAGAGCGAGGCATGCGGGACGGCGACAAGCTTACGTTCAAGGGGAAGGGCGAGCAGCAGCCCAAGAAGGTGCCAGGTGACGTTGTGCTGACGCTGCGTCAGCGCAAGCACCCAGTCTTCAGTCGCAGAGGCCTGGACCTGTATACGGACATGAGCATCTCGCTCAAGGAGGCGCTCTTGGGCTTCGAGCGAAGCATCAGGCACATGGGCGGCAAGGACGTCTTCATCAGCTACACCGGCGTGACCAAGCCAGGGGCCGTCGTCCGCGTCCAGGGCGAGGGGATGCCCCAGAGAGGGGACTCCACCGCCGACTGGGGAAGCCTCTTCGTTTCCTTCACCGTGGTGATGCCCGAGGAAGGCCAGGTGCTGCCCGACATGCGGAACTGGTTGGCCATGAGGCTGCCAGACCTGCCCTCCCAGTGACAGGGCGTCCAGGCTGCACTGGAAGCCCCTCGTGCTGCGGGGGGTGGGGGGGGGGGGCAGCGGACCGGCGGCTGGCAGCAGAAGGGGGCCAGGGCGAGGGGGAGGCACTCGTGACGAGGCACTCCGGCACTCCGCCTCTTGGAAGCCCCCTCTGCCCTCCAAGAGGCTTGCTGCAAGGCCCCCCAGGAGAAGGGCCCAGGCCCTCCCAAGAAGCACCCTGCCTTCGGCCGCCTCCCCTCGACGTGCCCGCATAACGCGCGCCGCCGCGGGGACGGGGATGGTGAAGGGGCGCTTCCGGTCAGCAACGTTTGCTGAGCGTGTCGCGCCGCCAATTCTGGCCCAACCCGCTTCGGGGCGACACGCGAACCATGCCTCATGGCGTCAACATCGCAGAGCGGATTTCGTTCGGAAAAAGATGGGATGGGCCCGGAGTGTCCTGGAGAATTTCGCTCCGAATTTCGAGGTGAATTTCGCGCCGATTTTTTGGCCAGGAATGAAAACCAAAAAGAACCCACGCGAAGTTCACTCCGTTTTTCGCTCGCCGCTTCGGGCAAAAACCCACGCACAAATCCACGCAGAAATCCGCTGCAGCACGTCTGCAAGGCCGGTGCAATGACATGCCAGGCCTCCTTGAGCGTCAACGTCCCGAGCCTCCCGCTGCCCGCTTATGCAGGGCACACGCTGTATACGTATGCCGAAGATCCTGACCGCATGGGGGGAGGGAGAGTGGCCCGGGCGAGGGGCCATGCTGCGCCCGCTGCACGCGGTCGCGGCGCTCCTCCGCGGGCGGTCGCACGGCTTGGGAGGCGGCGGACGTTGCTGCTCCTCTTTTCGGCCTCGGGCCTGGGGACCATCAAGAGACGACTCATGGTAAAACGCGGGTCCTGGGGAAGCTGTCTAGACCTCTGGGGGTCAGCGCTGCGAAAAATCACGGCGCCAGAGGCATGGGCATCGGCCTTGTCTCCCTATTGAGCGGCCCGTGGACTCGCAGCTGGCCAGCATCGGCGCTTCCCCGCTGTCCCCCGCCCCATGCTCTCCGCTTTTCCGCCGTATGGCCAGAGGGCCCCCTCGACCTTGATCTGCCCGGGTCGCCAGGGCCCCGGGAGCTGTCAAGCGACATCCTAGGATAGGATGTATCATTTGAGTCGCATCGAGCGAGAGAGCTTCCACCGCTGACAGTCGCCAGCGCCAGCCAGGACGCCAAAAAAGAAGCCTGACTGCTCGATCTGACCGAAAGAGAACAACGGGCACAATCCAGATGAGCTGCCGCGCATCTATCCGCCACCGTTGCTGTGAAAACGGGGAGGGCAGAGGGCAAATGAGCAGGCAGATCGCTCGACGGGTGTGTGGTTATGACACGCATGTGACAGGGCAGCTGCGACTTGGGACCCTGTGCCATCCTGGGGCCTTCTCGGGGAGCCGCTTGGGCTCTCTTGGGGGGTCCTCTTGACGTCCCTTGGGGCAGGTCTGGGGTGCCGTGTTGCACGGTCCCGGGGCCGTCTAACATTGGGGGGGTTCGGGGTCTTTTGTGGGGCGGTCCTGAGGCGAACTGGAGCCGTCCTGGGGAGGCCCTGGATATCGACTGAAGGCCTCTGGTGCCGTCTTGGGTGGCTATTGGCCCGTCTAGTGGGGCTTCCCTGCTTGTCCGCAGCCTGATTCTCCTCTGCCTTCCTCCCTCTCCCCTGAAGGCACAGTGGAGGCTTGCGGTGGTCGAGGGCGTGTTGGCTGCGCGTCAGGGGCCCGTCAGGCGTCTTGGGGCCGTTTTGGGCGCGACCGCCTCGTAGAGCTGCCCCGAATAGGCTCATTTTAATCGTGTCAAGGAGCTCTGGGCGGGTACTGGAGCCGTCTTTGGGCTTTTTCGGTCCGTGTTGGGTGAGCTACCGGGCAATCGTAGAGTTATCTTGGGGCGTTATTGGGGCTGTCTTGAGCCGCCTTTGGGATCTCATGAGGTTCTCTGAAGCCTTCCAAACCGATCTGGAGCCGAGAAGCCCCGGGGCGAACAAAAACATGATTTCCCATGTGACTGTAGTTACCGTTCGTCTCTCAGGGCCTCCTTGGAGGCCTCCTGGAGCGTCTCGTGGACGCTTCCAGGGACCTCTTGGTGCATAGTCGGAAAACCCTGGGGCCTTTTTGATGACTGGTTGGGCCGTCTCTGGACGGTATTGGCGGGTCGTGCAGCCGTGTTGGAGTGGCCGTCGGCTGGCTTGGAGTCGTTTGCACTGTTGCGAAACATCACCAGAGTGGCTTCATTGTTTTTGTCGGGCGTCCTCGCAAAGCTGCCAGGATTCCGAAAGCCCCACTCGAATTCTGTTGCGTCTCCTCGCGGAACAGACACCACAAAGTCGTCATTGTGGCGCCTCCTCGTGGAGATCAGGGCTCGTGACAGTCGCGCTGCGTTCCCGGAGGGGCTCGGCGGGATCATCCAGTGCTCCGTGTTGGCAAGGACTTACGTTACTAAACTTTGCATTGCCACGTACACATCCGTTTCGGCTCTGATGACTCAGGCGCCTCTGAGGCTCGCTCTAGGACAATGGAGCGATCGAGAAATCTAGGTCACCAGTTTCCCCGACTTCCCAGCAGAAGGCCAAAACAACGACGGCAGAAACATTCCCTTGTCTGCTTCTTAGTGCCCTGTCGGGGCTTCTTGGTGCCCTCGCAGGGCCAGCTTTGGCCATCTTGGGGCCACTCGGGGCCAACGGCGGAGCCGAAGAGAGCGGGGAGCGATCCCAGCAGGTGGATGCCACGAAAGGAAGACGGGCTGGCCGGGCAAAACGTATGCAGCCCCCAAATGGCAACGCATGGCGCATTGGCTCGCGCGACGCGCCACAGACGGGGTGGTGCATCTGGCTGAGCGAGCGGGGAAGTCATCGGCCCCCACAGGTCAGGTCGCTACTTGCCTTCTGGTGGTGCGGGGGACTGAAGATCACCAGAAAGGGATGCGATAACATTTCTAGGAGGCAGCGTCCAGCAGCACCTGCGACAGCTGAAACCATACTGTGGTCAAGGGGGTCTTGTGGGAGTCGCTGCGGATGCTGACCACCCGAAGGGCGCTTTGGGCCACTACAGGTGCCAGAGCACACGGCAGACCACATCGTTTGGAAAGCTTGGCATTCGAGAAGCATTCCCGTGAGGTTCATACCTTTCTGCGTTATGCTCTGCTCCCTGTGAGGAGGATTCTTAGGCAGATGCTGCGTTACGTGCATGCGGCCCTCGAAAGATAGAGTCTTCTGGATACGTTTGTGCTGGAGCAGCTCGATTCGGCAGCCATTACTAAGAAACACACACTTTTGCTAAACAAGCTTCCTTTTCGTGTGCGTCGTCCACGACATGCTATGACTCCCCAGGCGGGTCGCAGTGAAGATGCTTGGCTGCGCTTTCGGAGGGCCACAGCCTGCCCCTTCGCACGGGCACTCTTCCTCCCAAAGATTGGAGGTCCATGTCTCGCGATTGCGCAAGGAGGCACACGAAAATGTTTGTGAGAGGGGCAACTCCGCCTGGAGATTGTTGTTAAATCTATTCGCAGGAACGCGACTGGCTAGATTTGTTAGTTCCCAAGACAGCGCCAGCGCAAATCGTGTCGCTACCAGTTCTCTCCCTCCCCTTCACCCCCGCCGACGCCTGTTACCACCAGAGGACGAACAAACAACGGTTCTACGATGCGCTCTTACGCTCTTGCCGTCGTTGTCATATCCTCCTTCGCAGTTCTTGCTCTCCGGAGACGGAAGGGTTGCGGGAGCGAAAACAAGAGGCGGTCGCTTGGTTCTGGGGAGGTTCTAGGGAATCCGTGACGTTGTGCATTCCTCTGTGCCCTAGCGGGTTTCTCTTCCTGTCCAGTATTATTCGGCCTTCTGTTCCCCATCGTGCACGCACAGTTTCTATAACTGTGAGGTTGATCCGACGTTCCGCTCTTGTTTTTTTTCCCTCGGATCGCGGCCATCAAGACGCGACGGTTGACGAAAGCCAGCGCGTTTCCAACGCACAAGGGTCGCCTGTTTTTTCATCCAATGCTCCCGACTTCCTCTCCAGACCTTGGGTTCGGTAGCAAATCATGGGAGCCTTCTATGTTCTCGTTAATCCGATCAGAGCTTGGAAGTCGGTGATGATGCGAGAAACTTAGCGTCGACGAGCGTCGATTCAGCGTCGACTATCGTCGATTAGCGTCGGCCAGCGTCGGCTGGCGACGATTCGCAAGATGGCATGGGAGGCCCCCGTGATGAGCTGCCACCGAACTTGGGGCACTTCGCGCCGAGGTCCCGCACCGCCGCGCCGAGACAGGAGTGGCGCCGCCGGCCCCGCGGCGGGCGCCGGCACGGGTGCTGGCGGGGAGGAGGTGCTTCGGCGGCGGCGCGCCAAGCTGGGGGGGGGGGCAGGGCACCTCCTCCTCCTCCTCCTCCTCCTCCTCCTCCTCGTCCTCCTACTCTACTCCTACTCCTATCCTTATTCCTTATTGGAATATACTCTTACTCCCCCCTCTGTCCGGCCGATAGCAACCCCATCCGGATGGTCCCATTCTGTCTTCAAACAATCCATACAAAGTCCCCGTTGTTCCTTTCAAAATGGCCTGTCGTGTCGTCGACGGTGCGAAATGCGTGCAGGAATGGGACGCGGCGCACATCGCGCGCGGACGTCAATCCGGGCCCTCCCATCCTGACTGCAAAATCCATACAAAGTCTCCGGCATTCCTCTCAGCATGGCCTGCCTTGTCGTCGACGATGCGAGTTGCGTAGGAGGAATGAGACGCGGCGCGCATCGCGCGCGGACGTCTGGGGCAACCCCAAGCGAGAGGCGCCATCCTACTTTTCAAAAACCAATCCAAAGTCGACATGCTTCTGTTCCGCGAAGACTTTCTTGTCGTGGGCTTTGCGAAATGCGTGGCAGGAATGGGGCGCGGTGCACATCGCAAGCGACAGGACGAAATGTCGCTCCCGCTTCGGCGCCGCGCGCATGTTTTCTGAAAGTTGCGCTCCCGCTAAGGCGCGGCGCACATTTTTCGCTCGCCAATTCGTCGAGCGCCTAGGGCCCCCTGGGGCCTCCCAGGGTCTCCTGGAACATCCTGGGGCTTCCTGGGGCAGGGCCTCGTGGATCCTCCGGGGGCCTCCTGAGGCATCCTGGGGATGCTTGGGATTCCCCGGGGTTTCCTGACACCTCCTGGGGTTTCCTGAAGCATCCTGGAACCTGCTGGGGCTTCCTGGGCCCTCCTGAAGCCTCCAGGAGCTTCCTGGAGTTCGCTGAGGTTTCCTGCAACTTCCTCGGGCCTCCTGGGGCTTTCTGGGGCCTCCTGAGGCTTCCCGGGGCCTCCTCGGTTCGTGCTGAAATGCCAGCGCAGTCTTTGAGACGCGCCAGGAATTTCCCATCGATAACCGCCATCGCCGCTGCATCAGCTGTGGCAAACCACCTTGCTGATTTGATTCTACAGGCTTACGCCACATCCGCCGACCCCTTCTGTAAGTCTTGCGAGGCCAGGAGTTTGTGGCCAGCGGCGTCTTGTGTAAGGGTGCGGTGTCGCGCGCGGGTGGTGGCAGATACGTACGGGGTCCAAATGTTTGCGTGATGCCGGTGGTCTGGGGCGTGTTTTGCGAGCGCCTTGCGTGCTGTGCACCCGGGTGCGGGGTGTCCTTCTGGGAGGTCGGCCTTTCGACCCGCAACCAAGTGGAGGACCACCGGAAGACGAAAGGAGCAAGAGTGGTGTGCGGAAACTGTGATCAGCGAGGCATCACCGCGAAAGATGTGGCAGATGAGTCGAAACGGGTGAAGAGGCTGTCGACGTTCGCAGCGCGCACTAAACAGTTCGCGCGGCAGCAGCACATTAGCGCCGAGCAAGATAGTGAGCATTTCACGAGGAAGAGTAAGGCTGTCTGCGCGGAGTGCATGGCACTTGGCTTTACGGCTCGCAATACGGAAGCGTCTGGGGTCTTTGGGGGGCCTCCTGGGGGCCTTTTGGGGGCTCCGTGAGGCGTCTTGGCGGCCTCTTGGGGGCCTGTGGCGGCCTCTCGGGGCACTCTTGGGGCCCCCTGGGGCTCGTGGGGGCGGGCCCGTCTTGGTGCCGTCTTGGAGCCTTCTTGGGCCGTCTTGGGGACCTCTTGGGCCGTCTTGGGGCCATTTTGGGCCGTCGTGGGGCCGTCTTGGGGGCCTGTTGGGCCGTCTTGGGGCGGTCTTCGGGGCCTCTTGGGCCGTCTTGGAGCGTCGGAAAGCCCACAAGGCGAATTTGTGAAACAGTATACGCTTTACGAAAGACATGAGCAATTTTTTGCGTCTAGGGACCCTCTTGGGACGTATCTTGGAGGCCGTCATGGGGGCGTCTTGGGCCATCTGGAGACCATCTCGGGTGTGTTTGATCGCTCTTGGACCGTCTGGGACCATGTTGAGCTCTCTTGGAAGCACTTGGAGCGCTCCTGGAGCGCTCTTGGGGCCGTCTTCGGGGTTCTCTTGGGCCGTCTTCGGCGCCTCTTGAGCCGTCTTGGGGCCTCTTGGGCTGTCTCGGGGCCCTCTTGGAGGCTTGTTGGACCGTCTTGGGGCGGACTTGGGGGCCTCTTGCGCCGTCTGGGAGCATCGGAAAGCCCAAAAGGCGAATTTGTGAAAAATTTACGTTTCACGAATGGAACGGGTGAATTTGTTGCGTCTAGAGGCCCTCTTGGGACGCATCTTGGATGCGTCTCGGGGGCTCTTGGGGGCATCTTGGGCCGTCTGGAGGCCATCTGCGGTGTCTTTGATCGCTCTTGGACCGTGTGGGACCCTATTGAGCTCTCTTGCAGGCCACTTGGAGCGCTCCTGGAACGCTCTTGGGGCCGTCTTCGGGGCCCTCTTGGGCCGTCTTGGACGCGTCTTGAGCCGTCTTGGGGCCCTCTTGGGCTATCTTGGGACCCTCTTGCAGGCTTCTTTGGCCGTCTTGGGGCGGTATTGGGGGCCTCTTGGGCCGTCTGGGAGCATCGGAAAGCCCAGAAGGCGAACTTGTGAAACTTTGTACGTTTTACAAAGGGAATGGGCCAATTGTTGCGTCTAGGGACCCTCTTGGGACGCATCTTGGAGGCCTCTTGGGGCCTCGTGGGGACCTCTTGAGCCGTCTAGGAGGCCTCTTAGCCCGTCTTTGGGCCATCTTGGGCGTCTTGGAGCGCTCGTTTGGCGTCTCGGGGCCCTCGTGGCCGTCTTGGAGGCCTCTTGGGGCCTTCTTGGCTCGTCTTTAGGCCCTGTTGGGTCCGGAAAAGCCTCGTGGTGCGCTCGCGCCGGGCCGGGGGGGTGCGCTCGCGCCGGGCCGGGGGGGGGGGTCAAATCTCCGGTTTGGGGTCCCTGGGGGGGTTATGGGGGGGGGGAACTATCTCACACGCCTAGAGACCCACAAGGGGTCGGCGGACTTCGGTCCCCAGCTGCGCCAGCATTGTGTCTTATGTTGCGAGGGGGCGGGTGGAAATGGGCATGCCATGCTTGACTCGCTCGAGCTGGCTAGCTTGACTCCTACTCCTACTCCTGCTCTTACTCCTTCTCCCCCTCCTCCTCCTCCTCCTCCTCCTCCTCCTCCTCCTCCTCCTCGTTCTCCTCCTCCTCCTCCTCCTCCTCCTCCTCCTCCTTCTCTTTCTCCTCCTCCTCCTACCCCCTCCATCATCATTTCCAGCTCCTCCCTCCATCACCCTCCGCCTCCGCCTATTTGCTCACTCCTCTTCGTCCTCCTTCTCATCATCGTCATCCTTGCTTCCTTCGTGTCTGGGCATCCTCCTCCTCCGTCATCCTTTTTCCTGCTAAGTAACTCCTCCCCTTCGCACCCCCAGGCGTGTCAATAGGGTGGGCCGGGCGTTACGCTTGAGACATCCTCACAGCTTATCCTGTCGGAGATTGAGATTTGCAGCAGCTCCACGGATGGAGCAGAGGTGTTTGTTCAATGTGGTTCTTGACTCGGTGCCGCACATATTCGTGTCAAATGTTCGCAACAGCCACACGGATGGAGCACAGGTCGTTTTCAACATTCGTGTGAAAGTTTGCAGCATGACCATTGATGGAAAAGGAGATCTTTCCAAAATGGTGCTCTCGCCTTCAAGCCGCGCACAGTTTATGTTTAAGCCTACACTAGCTTCACGGATGGCGGGCGTTTCCTTCTCGAAATGCGGATCTCGCTTCAGCGCCGTTCGCATTCGTGCTCAGAAAGCAACGGATGTAGGATGTGTTACACATGAGATGCCGCGCAAGACTTCGTTAAGTCTCAAGATCCAAAACTGCAGCGAGTGTAGCACTACACGGATTCGTGACGTGTTTTTCAAAGTGGAGTTGTCGTTGGAGATTTCTTCGAAGGTCACGTCCACAAGGGTAAACATGTGCATTAGTAACACGGATGGGGGGCGGTCCTTCTTCGAAAGGGGGATATTGTTGGACATCTCGCTGAAGTGTATGATCATTGTTTTCCCCGTTCCAGACGCCGCACCAGAAATATGCAAGACAGTTGTGTTCAAAGTGTGGCCCTCGCCAAAATGCCAGGTCCAACTGCGCTGGTTTTTCAAGGAGTGACTTCTTGTAGTTGAAAAAGGAAGACTTGCAGCGGCGTGTGAGGAGGGGATTTGGGATGGGAGGGTGTATTGCAGCATCGCTTGTGAATGTTTGGTTTATTATGGTTCTCCTTCCTCCTTCGCCTCCTCCTCCCCCCTCCTTAATTTGTTTTCTGTCCTCCTCCTCCCCAGATCTTGTGCGAATTGATTTCTTCAATCCCAGTTTTTCCCAGTGATCTCGCCACCTGGGGAGGCGCTTTCGAAGGCCCGGAGCAGTCAAACATATCCTGGACGGGAAATTTGTCATACGTGAGGGACCGAGAGGGGACAGTGAGGAGAAAGAGGAGGTGGGAGATCTTGGGTCGAGGATCGAGGGGGGCGTCTCTGAGCTCGGAGAAGCGGCCAGGGCAGACCCCAGGGAGCTTAGGGCCCCAGAAACCAGGGCATCGCAGACCAGAGTTTGGCCAAATCCAGCTGGAGCGAACGAAGACTTGACAATGTTTCGACCCAGGGCTGCAGGCTGCAGGTGCTTCTCGGGTGCACCAGCGTCCTGGTTTGCGCAACGGGCATGGACTAAACGCTCATGCGAGGGCTTCGCGCGTGGGGGCGCTGAGAGTGACGGTGATCTTCTGTCCTCAGTTCTCGCCGCCTCCCCTCTGATGCCGCACTTCCTCGTGGCCTGGGCCCCCTGGGCGCCTCGACCCCCTCCGCGTCGTCTCTCGCGGTCCCCCGGGGCCGGGAGACGGCCTCCAGAGGCCGGGGGCGGAGGAGAGGGGGGAGGGGATATCATGGCGTGGGCCATGATGTTTCGACCGACTTCCTGGCGCCTCTTCTTACATATTGCATCACGTCCCCAGCCCCCCCCCCCCCCCCCCCCCAGGCCGAGCACCTGCCGGCCACGAGTTGCGGCGCCCCCCCCCCCCCGCTTGGACGCCCCCGTCTTGGCCGCCCCCCGAAGAGGCCGAGAGGGCACTGCCAACAGCGGCCGTCGCGGGCTGCATCGCCCAGGCAGGAGAGGAGAGGCTTCTGCTGGGGGGGGGGGGCCTGGAGGGCAGGAGGGCGCCGTCCAAGGGAGGAGGATGAGGAGGAGGAGGAGGAGGAGGAGGTGAGGAGGAGGACAAGGAGGACAAGGAGGAGCAGGAGGAGAAGGAGGAGGAGGGATTTTTGGATTGCCTGCTCGTTGAGGCAACTAGCCTGTCGAGTTACGGTGGCGCTGCGGCTAGCGATGCAACTGAAATAGTGATATCGCACGGGCACCTAAGGATTGCAGTATACAGTACCAGTACACCAAACCCACCTCTCCTTATTCCTTCCACCCCCACGCAAAATCCCCCACCCTTCAACTGGGCAACTGGACGGCAAACGCGAAAAACTGCGACAGTGGCTTGCGTTGCCCGTCCAGGGCATTCGGGTGGAGGGGCGGAGGGAGGGAAGGGGAAGAAAGTAGGATGATGAGGAAGTCGAGGAGAGGGTAAGGCTGGGACGCAGACCTGGGCCCTAATCCCTCTTCCCTCTCGCTCGCCGGCCCTCCTCTGCGAGAACACACCGGCTCTGTAATCGAGCAGTGCTCGCGAGAGTGCACGGGCCGCGCCGAGAAACGCCTCCATCCCGATCCGCCCCTCCTCTGAAACCCCCAGCCCCCGCAGTAGGTGGCGACGGACAGATCAATACATACTCTGCTCGCGTGCCCTACACGGGCATTGTGGAGTAGAGGCGGAGGGAGGGAATAATAAGTGAGAGGGAGAAAGAGGGCTGGGACACAGACCGAAATCCTCCTGCTCTCGTGACACGGAAGAGAGCTTGGGAGAAGGCTGGGACACAGACCGACATGCTCCTGCTCTCGTGAAGTCGTGACATTTGCGACGCATGCTACGGCAGCTGCTGCTCCTCCCCTGCACCACCCTATCTTCTCTCATGAAACCCCCATCCCGCACAGTAGGTGGCGACAGACGGATCGAGACATACACTGCTCGCGTGCCGTTCCCTACACGGGCATTGTGGAGGAGAGGCGGAGGGCGGGAAAACGTGATGCGGAAGAGAGCTTGGGAGAAGGCTGGGACACAGACCGAAATTCTCATGCTCTCGTGATCAAAGTGTCTGAGCACAGACGTGCATTCATGATCCCACTTCACAAACATCGTCCTGAAGTTGACAAGTTGCGACGTGGCAGGAAGCTTGCAATACTCAATGCTCAGTCGCCTCACTCGGGGCCACCATCCGGGCTGTCTGGAAGAAGATTCCGACGATCACCATCAAAGCGAGGCACGATCTTTTACTTCATATGGATGCCGATGGCCGCATATGCGGCAACCATGGCGGCCCTGGCAGCTTCGATGCCTCCTTGAGCAGCGATCGCGTCGCCGATCCTCCGATTCCTCTCGTCATCATCTCGCTGAGCAGCAAAAAGGCTGGCTGCCACGTGATGTAGCTCAGAATGTCGGGCTCCAGCTTCACCACCGACCTCACGCGGAGGAGCGAGAGGGCTAGCTGCCACTGCCCTCCCTGATCGCACGCGCGGATCGGGATCCGGAAACTCTCGATGGCGGGCTCCATATTCACCATCCACATCTCGATGAGCAGCGATCGGGCTGGCTGCCACTGCCAGCGCTTCTCGCACACGCTGGTCGGGGTTCTGTGGCTCAGGATGGAAGGTGCCAGATTCGCCACCGACATCTCGCTGAGCAGCGATAGGGCCGGCTGCCACGTGCTGTAGCTCATGATGTCGGGCTCCAGTTTCACCACCCACATCTCGCTGAGAAGCGATAGGTCCGGCTGCCACTGCTCGCCCTTCGGGTAGCTTCCGCTGTCCCAGTGCCGCTGCACGTTGCTGGGGCCACGCAGCGCGGCGCGCGGCCAGCGGACACGCAGCCGCAAGATGGGCAGCAGCTCTGACGGCAGCCTTGCTGGGCATCGCGGCGGGGGCCTCCGCCACGGCACCGGCCTCCAGCTTCGCGTCCGACGCGGGTACAGCAGCAGCGTCAACGTCACCAAGTTGCCCGCACGGTGTGCCGACGACGTATCGGCTCACATCATTCAGCGGCGGCGGCGGCGGAGCGCGCAAGGCCACAGCCGGCGCCACAGCGGGAGCGCCAGGCGGCGGCGCCGGCACACGGCGAGCAGCCAGGTAGCTGGAGGTACCAAGATACGCCGCCCGAGCGCCACGCTCCGCGCCTTTCGAGCACGGCGGGAGCTCCGGGAGTACAGCACGAGCAAGAAGACGTAGAACATGATCCTGGCCGAGAGCGGGAGAAGCTGCAGCAGCAGCAGCGTCGGCACGATCTTGGGCGGGTTGCGCAGGCAACACGCGTGGCGGCAGCAGCACCGACGAAACACACGGCGAGGAGGTCGGCGTAGCACTGGGCGAACGGGCGGCTGCCGCAGCCGCAGGGGCGCTGATCGCCTCGAGCCCGGGTGACTCCTGGGGTGCAGCACCAGCAAGAAGAAGTTCATGTTTATCTCCGCGGACACGCTCGGGTCCAGGAGCACGGCCACGACGCACGACGGCGGCCACGTCGCTCATACGAGGCCGGCATCCGACTCTGGCCGCATAGCCGAGCCGTCGCGCAGCTGCACGAAGCGTCGGCCTCGGTCGGCTGCAACGCCGTCCGGAGGGGTCTCGCGGCGCGCGGCTGGCCTGCGGCTCGCCTGGCATCGGCGCCAGGGGCAAGGCGAGGCGGCCTGCGCGCATGGCAGCTGTCCGCGGGCGAGGCGCGCAGCGCGCGGCGGTACCTGGTACCGCGGGCACTGCACCCAAATCCTCGACCCGGGACGGCGGCTGAGGAGGAGGGGGGGAGGGAGGAGGAGGAGGAGGAGGAAGAGGAGGAGGAGGACAAGGAGGAGGAGGAGGAGGAGGAGGAGGAGGAGGATCAGGAGGAGGAGGAGGATCAGGAGGAGGGGCCGGGAGACTCCCCCCTCTTGGACGTCCCCCTCTTGGCCGCCCTCGAAGAGGCCGAGAGGACACTGCCGACAGCGGCCGTCGCGGGTTGCATCGCCCGGGCAGGAGAGGAGAGGCTTCTGCTGGGAGGCTCCCCCTGGAGGGCAGGAGGGCGCCGCCTAGGAGGAGGAGGAGGAGGAGGAGAGGAGGAGGAGGAGGAGGAGGAGGAGGGGAGGAGGAGGAGGAGGAGGAGGAGGGGAGGAGGGGGAGGGGGGGGGAGGGGGAGGGGAGGAGGGCGGGGAGGAGGAGGAGCCTCCGGGGAGGGTTCTCAGAAGGGGTCGGCCCCTTCCAGGAGGCTTCTCAGGAGGGCCTCTCGGGAAGACAGGGGGTTTCTCTGCGAGGCGCGGTGCCTCTCCAGAAGGCTGCACCACGTCGCCCCATCCTCAGGTCTGGGCGTTGCGAGAGGATCTTGACGGCTAGTCTTTCCACGTGCTCGGCCTCTGGATGCAGCTTTGCTCGCCTCGGGACGTCTTCCTTCAGCTGCACCTCGCCGAAAGCATTCTGGAGTTGCCCAAAGCGCCCTGACCGATTGCCGAGGACCCGAGTTACGATCTTCGAAGAAGAAACACGCAATAAGCATGAACTGTTGGCGCTCCGCGCGGATTTCGCCCTTGGCGCGCTCCGCGCGGATCCAAGAAAACCGCGCGGAGCGCCAAAACATTATGTGTATGACGTTGTTCGTTGTTTCTTCTTCTAGGCCCAAGCGCCAGGCACATGGCGTCTTCCTGAAATCGCGTTGCTTGGTACCGTCCTCCTCCCCCCTCGGGGTATTGCGCGTCTGTGACACCCGCTGTGTGAGGAAGAAGACGGTGTTCAAGTGCAACCTCTTTCCCGTTTGTGCCGTGCTTCCTCAGCCGTGTCAAGATGTTCTTCAGTGTGGCCTTCAGTTCGTGGCGGCATCCGAGTTCCGACGATAGTTCTCAAAGCTTGTTGTCCGATCTCATCCCCCTCCGTAAAGAATCAGGATGGAAGTTGGCCCAGAGAAGGGATCGAGATCCCCTCGGGGATGGGGGCGGGAAACACGTCACGAAAACATTACGATTTCGGAGAAGAGGGTACCCCCGACCCAAGTCTGCTCACAACCCTTCCCCGGACCCTTCATTGGGTGGCCAGTTTTCGTAGTTGCATCGGCTTACCCTCGACACAAATCCGCTGAACATCACTGCCTGGACCCCTCACGGGGTAAGTCATGGCAGGTGTACCGAATTGCGTCCACCCATACCCATGGCCACGAGGGCACTCCCCGGAGGCTGAACATGAGTCATCAACGCCTGCCCCAGCTTGCGACGACAACGCTGACGACGGCGACGACGAAGAAAAATCGGGAACGGCGACAGACTTCTCCTCCTCCTCCTCCTCATCCTCCTCCTCCTCCTGCCCCTGCTCCTCCTCCTCCTTCTCCTCCTCCGACGACGACGACAACGACGACGACGTCGACGACCACGACGACGACGACGACGAGAGGTGCTGGAGCGCCTGGTGCATCTGGCCGCCGCCATCCTGCAGGCCGCCCGCCGGATGGACCCCCTGGCCGCGTCCTCCTCTCTTCCAAAGTCCCTGCGCTTCTCTGGGGGAATTTTGTCGCACGGATCTCTCAAGCTCTCCGCCGCCTCAAGCGGTGTTCGGGTATAGCCAGGACCCCAGGCAAGGGGACCTGGTTAGTAGTAAGGCCCCAGAACCCCTCAATTGGCCAGAATCTCTAAACCAGGTCTGCCGTAGCTGGTGTTTTTTCGGGTGACGGCAGTTCCGGTTAGGAGGCGCCCCCCAGAACACATCACTAAACCAGGTCCCACCAAATCCAGTTCTGCCAACGCCCGAGGTGTGCGTTCAGAGCAGGAGCACAGCGAAGCCACAGGAAAGCGTAGCATTGACAGCGTAGTCCCGCACGCGTGTGAGATGCTCCAGCGAGCAAGAACACAGCAAAGCCCCAGGACAGCAAGGCGTCGACAGTGCAGTTCAGCATCAATGCAGTGGCTGGGGAGACCGCGGCGGGCGCCGGCCAAGATTTCGGCCCATTGGGGTCACAAAACGTTTGTCGTTGCTTGCGTTTTGGAGGACCGTGCCGATCTGGGGCCAGATCCGAGTGCCCCTGAGGGGTCCCACATTCTGATGTTCCCCGCCCCCGCCTTTGCGAACAACGCCCTCGTCGAGAGTGTCTGCCGGCGCGCATTCACTTCGTGTGAGTCCGCGGATCCGGACGTCGCGAAGCATCTCGACGGTATCGTTGTCGGCCGCTGGAGGCCCATCCTCAGCCCCTGGACCGTTCAAAAACAACCCCTGCTGAAAAGCCAGTCTCTGGGGGCTCACGTTTCAGCCACGCGCAGAGGGGGGGTAGGGAGAGAGAGGAAGGCTTCTTGGAAGGATCGGGTATAGCCAGGACCCCAGGTAGGGGGACCCAGTTAGTAGTAGGCGGCCCCGGCGCCCCTAAACTGACTAGAATCACTCAAGCAGGTCTGCCGTAGCTGGTGTTTTTTTTCGGGTGATGGCAGTATCGCTTAGTGGAACGGGGAGGGGGGGGCCTCCCCCAGTACAGATCACTAAACCAGGTCCCACTAAACCCAGTTCTGCCAACGCCCGAACGGAGACTGCTTATTAGAAGGCGCGGGCCTGGTCTGTGGGTGTGTAGATGTAAGGCCCGCGCCTTCTAAGAAGCGGCCTGCTTCAAAGAAGCCTCCCCCCCCTACCCCCAGGTGCTCGCCGCCAAACGCTGTCAAATTATCCTGGCGAAGGACCCAACCATATGCAGTTGTGAGTATCGCAATTGTGAGTATCTTCTTCGGTGGCGCTCCCTATGGGGCCACGAACCGCATGAGGGGTGTGCCGAAATGTGGCGGGGTACACAACGCAAAGGAATACGATAGATCTGATTACGAGAGAAAAAAACGCGGGTGAGTCAGAGCGCGAGGGAATCTGAGTATGAATGGGTCTGCGCGCGAGTGAATATATTTGCATGAATGCGATCATGGAACCGCCTAGTGTAAGTGTCGAGCATGCCTGTCCGAACACACGTGACACTGGGCGTGGCCGCCGCAGGCAGCTTCCGCGGGAACCCCGACGGCAGCGTCCGCACGTCGCGACGCCCATGTCGGCACGCCTCTTGCGAGGATCGCGCCCGCTTTCGGCTCTTCTTTTCCTTCCTCTTTGCCCGCGCACTCCAAAATCCAAGGCTGCGGGCGCAGCGCAGCGCGGAGTCCCCGCGACGCGCGCTGGTCGCCCCGGGCGGGGTCCCAGCGACGCGCGCGGGTCGTCCGCTGCGCGAAGCAGAGAGAGCTGACTAGCTAACTGGCTGGCTGATAGCGGGCAAGTCTCTGACCGCTGGGCAGAGCGACGACGGGCGAACGAGGCGCCGGGCCCCCCGCAGCACGGAGTTCCCGCGACGCGCGCTGGTCGCCCCGAGAGGGTCCCAGCGACGCGCGCGGGTCGTCCGCGGCGCGAGGCCAAACAATTAGTCGGGCAGTCGAGAGAAGGCGCGGCTCGGGGGAGACGCTCCTCAGGTCAGGCCTCGCGGATGAACTCGGTGAAGCCGAGCTCCCTGGCGAGGGCCGTCGCTTCCCTCCTGCACCGCTTCGTGCGCGCCGCAAACTGCTCCAGCTGCTTCCGCAAGCCCTGCGGCGGCCCTGCCAGGAAGAACTCGATGCGCGGCGCCCGCATGAGCAGGAGGTCCTCGTGGCGCGTGGCGCGCGAGAGCAGCACGTAGAGCTCCAGCCACCAGTCGTCGTCCTCCTTCTTGCCGTTCCCTACCTCGTGGCGGCCGCAATCCAGGATCACGCCTGGGCGACGTCGACCGAGGGAGCAGCGCGCCGGGCAGCCGACGGCCCAGGGCGAGAGTCCACAGGACCGAGAGATGGTCTGGCCGCGGACTGCTCGCGCCCCGGAGGTCTGGCCGCCCCCGGAGCGCCGTTCCCCCGCCCCGTCGCCTTCGCGCATGGTGCGCCCCTGGCACGCCACCGTGGTGATGACCCTGCCGTGCGAGAAATGCGGGGGGTGTGCCGAAATGGGTGGGGGTGACGCATGCGGGCGGCGGCACTGAGGCCTTCGGTGGAGCTCCCTATGGAGCCACGAAGCGTGTGAGGGGTGTGCCGAAATGGGTGTGGGTGACGCATGCGGCCGCGGGCAGGCATGCGGACCCGGGCACTGGGGCCTTCGGTGGAGCTCCCTATGGAGCCACGAAACGTGTGAGGGGTGTGTGCCGAAATGGGTGTGGGTGAGCATGCGGGCCGCGGGCACTGGGGCCTTCGGTGGAGCTCCCTATGGAGCCACGAAACGTGTGATGGGTGTGCCGAATTGGGTGTGGGTGGCGCATGCGGCCGCGGGCACTGGGGCCTTCGGTGGAGCTCCCTATGGAGCCACGAAGCGTGTGAGGGGTGTGCCGAAATGGGTGTGGGTGACGCATGCGGCCGCGGGCACTGGGGCCTTCGGTGGAGCTCCCTATGGAGCCACGAAACGTGTGAGGGGTGTGCCGAAATGGGTGTGGGTGACGCATGCGGCCGCGGCCACTGGGGCCTTCGGTGGAGCTCCCTATGGAGCCACGAAGCGTGTGAGGGGTGTGCCGAAATGGGTGTGGGTGACGCATGCGGCGCGGGCACTGGGCCTTCGGTGGAGCTCCCTATGGAGCCACGAAACGTGTGAGGGGTGTGCCGAAATGGGTGTGGGTGACGCATGCGGCCGCGGGCACTGGGGCCTTCGGTGGAGCTCCCTATGGAGCCACGAAACGTGTGAGGGGTGTGCCGAAATGGGTGTGGGGGACGCATGCGGCCGCGGGCACTGGGGCCTTCGGTGGAGTCCCTATCCCATGGAGCACACGAGCGTGTGAGGGGTGTGCCGAAATGGGTGTGGGTGACGACGCATGCGGCCGCGGGCACTGGGGCCTTCGGTGGAGCTTCCTATGGAGCCACGAAGCGTGTGAGTGAGGGGTGTGCCGAAATGATGGTGTGGGTGACGCATGCGGGCGCGGGCACTGGGGCCTTCGGTGGAGCTCCCTATGGAGCCACGAAGCGTGTGAGGGGTGTGCCGAAATGGGTGTGGGTGACGCATGCGGCCGCGGGCACTGGGGCCTTCGGTGGAGCTCCCTATGGAGCCACGAAACGTGTGAGGGGTGTGCCGAATTGGGTGTTGATGATGATGATGATGGGAGGGGGGAGGAGGCAGCGGGAGGAAGGAAGGAAGGAAGGAAGGAGAACGCGGGGCACCGTCTCTTCAAAACGAGGACCCAACACCACAGGATGGTTGGGAAAAAGATACGACGACGTCGGAGATCTGGGAGGGGGTCCCGAGGGAAACGGGTCCTGGATGGCTTTCGGCGCCCGCAAGGCTCCCGGGGTCCTCCCCGGGCCGCCGGGCCGTCAGAAAACGAACGGGAGCCTTGAGACGGGGTCATTTCCTCGTGACCCAAAAGGGGGCCCAGTTGAAAGGGGTGGTGCAATATATCTGCGGCAACTAAACTACACATGTATTGCGCCAGAGGACTGTATTGCATTGTGTTGCAACTACTGTACTGCACGCGAAAATCCAGCAATACATTTGCGCACCGGGATGTATTGCACACCTCCAATCGATTGCAAATCCACAAATCTATTGCACCAAATCTATTGCACCCCCCTCGTTTCGCTGGACCCCCCTTTTAGAACAACCAGATCAATGCAAGCGGGGGTCAGCCATGGCGCCGGATCTTGCAGGATCCTGCAGAGCCAGGCGTGCCATGTCCCAGGCTAGCGCGCAGAGTATTGCAGGATCCCAGAGGATCTTGCAGGATCCTGCAGCACTTGACTTGCCCAGGTCTGCATAGACCTGGGTCAGTGCGTCCCCGAAACGATTCATTACGGACAACATATTATCTATGGAGGATATGGGGTCCAGGCCCCATTGCCTTCAGGACCCCTTTTCCTTCACGCCGCACTGTCTTTCGTGGTTCCTGCGCTGCCAGGAGAGTGGCATGCAGGCATGGCGCTGAAGTGGGGCTCCAGCTCGGGCTCGGAACGGGCTCGGTGGTTCCTGGGGTCTGCTTGCGTTCCCTCGCAATGTTGCAAGGAAGCCCGCTCCGTAGGCTTCGGCAGCTGGAACGCCTCCTCTAAAAAGTGGGCTCGGCCGTTCCTCGGACATGTCTTGCTTGATTGGGGACAGGGGCTTCGTTCCTTGCTTGGCGTTCCTGCTGGCAGCGCCATGACTGCATCGTCACAGCATGCATTCGAGGGTCGACAGGGGTCAGGCTCGAGAGCGGTTGGCATCTTCTGTGTTTTGCCTCGCGGGGCGCCCTCGCCGCAACGGCTTGATTCCCTCGAAATGCTGACCAGAACGGAGGGGTCAGGGAGGTGGACTTTGATCAGGAGGACCTGGACCCCTAGCGTTCTTCACAAAAGGTCAAGACGGCGCAATTACGCCAAATGTAGGCCTCCGTGGGGGGGGGGCGTCTTTGTGCCGGGAGCCGTCAAATAGACGGTCGGGACTGGAGAAAACGGTCCCGCCCACAGGAAGGGATCGAGAGTTCTCGGGGCCCGCGCATTGAAAAA